AAGGGCTGGAGGGGGGGGGGGGTGTTCGAACCGGTATACCCCCCCCCGGTTTTATGGAGAGGGGGGGGGGAGGGGTTAGGGGGGAAGGGGGATTTGCAGGGGAAGGGAGGGAGGGGGGCGGGGGGGCGTTCGAGCAGGGGGGAGATTTTCGGAGGGGGGGGGACCCCCGGGCTCCGGAGGAAGAGGGGGGATTTTCCATAGTAAAGCGGCGGTGGATCACGCTCTCTCCAACTTTTCGGTTTTCTCAAACGGTTTCGGGGGTGACACGTGTCACCCATTGTTTTTGTGAAGCTGAAAGAATTGATGCTTCCTCCCAGAATCCCAACTTTACAATTGAGTTTTGTCACGCGGTTTCGGGGATAACACGTGTCACCAGTTGTTTCTGTTAGGCTGAATGGCCTTATGGTGGCTCCCAGAACCCCAACTTTACGATTCGGTTTTGTCACACGGTTTTCGGGGGTGACACGTGTCACCCGTTGTTTGTGTGAAGTTGAATGGCTTCATTTTGGTTCCCAAAATTCGAACTACACAATTTGATGTTTGGTAACGGTTTCAAGGGTGACACATGTCACCCGTCTTTTTTTGAAGCTGAATGGTCTGATGTTGCTTGCCTCCTAGAACCCCAACTTTACAATTGAGTTTTGTCACAAGGTTTCCAGTTTGACACGTGTCACCCGTTGTTTTTGTGAAGTTGAATGGCCTTATGGTGGCTCCCAAATCCAAATTTTACAGTTGTTTGTTCACACGGTTTTGGGGATGACACGTGTCACTCGTTGTTTTTGCGCAGCTGAATGGCTTAATGTTGCCCAGAATCCCCCTTTCACATATTGGTGTTGTCACAATGTGTTTCTCTCATACGGTTTCCGGGGTGGCACGTGTCATCTGATGTTTTTGTGAACCTGAATGGCCTTCTGTTGGCGTCCAGAATCCCCACTTCACATTGGGGTTTTGTCACGGGGGTGACACGTGTCACCCATTGTTTTTGTGAAGCTGAATGGCCTTATGTTGCCTTCCAGGGCCCCAACTTTACAATTGAATTGTGTCACCCGTTGTTGTTGTTAGGTTGAATGGCCTGCTGCTGGTCCCCCAGAATTCTAATTTTAAAAGTGGTTTCTTTCTCACACGGTTGTGACACGTGTCACCCGTTGTTTTTGTGAAGCTGAATGGCCTAATGTTGCCTCCCAGAATCCCATCTTTATCATGAGGTTTTTGTCACACGGTTTCGAGGGTGTCACATGTTACCCGTTGTTTGTGTGAAGTTGAATGGTCTTTTGTTGGGTCCCGGAATCCCTTCTGTACAATTGGTTTCTCTCACACGGTTTCCGGGGTGACATGTGTCACCCCTTGCTTTTTTTGTGAAGCTGAATGGCTTCATTTCAGCCTCCAGAATCCCCACTTCACAGTTGGGTTTTGTCCAAGGGTTTCGGGGCTGACACGTGTCACTCGTTGTCTTTGTGAAGCCGAATGGCCTGATATTGCCTCATACGGTTTTTGGGGGTGACACGTGCCCCCCGTTGTTGTTGTGAAGCTGAATGGGTTCTACAGTGGCACGTGTCACCCGTTATTTCTGTACAGCTGAATGACCTTATGTTGGCTCCCAGACTCCAAATGTTTCAATTGGTTTCTCTCACACGGTTTCCCGGGTGGCACGTGTCACCCGTTATTTCTGTGAGGCTAGATGTTTTTTAACATTTGGGTGCTGTCACGCGGTTTCGGGGGTGACACGTGTCACCCGTTGTTTTTGTGAAGCTGAATGGTTTTAGGTGGCCTCCCAGAATCCAAATGAGTTTTGTCACACTGGTTCGGGGGTGACACGTGTCACCCGTTGTTTGTGTGAAGTTGACTGGCCTTATGTTGGCTCCCAGAATCCCAACTTTAACATTTTGTTTTTCTCACAAGGTTTCGGGGTAACACGTGTCGCCCGTTGTTTTTGTGATCTGAATGGCCTCATGTTGCCTTCCAGAATTCCACCGTTACAATTAGGTTTTGTCGCACGGTTCCGGGGGTGACACGCGTCACCCGTGCCCTGGGCTCCTGGGCCCTCGGATCCCACGCCCTAAATTCCAGGGCCTTGCATTCCAGGGCCCCAGGCTACTGGGGCCCGGCCCTAAACTCCAGGGCCAAAGAGTCCTGGGCCGTAGATTCCAGGGCCCCAGGCTCCTGTGCCGTAGGCTCCTGGGCCCAGGGTCTTGGGCCTTAGACTGTAAGGCCCTAGGCTCCAAGGACCTGGATTTCTGGGGCCTAGACTCCAGGGCCTCAGACTCCTGGGCCCCTCGACTCCAAGGCCCCAGGCCCTTGGTCTCAGACTCTGGGGCCCTAGACTCCTTGCCCCTTGCCTCAGCCCTGGCCATGTAGCCCTTGCCGCAGCCCTAGTTTGGTGTTTCGTGTTGTTGCTTTTTGTTTGTTTTGGTGGAAGCCTCAAACGGGACCTCGTCCCTCGCCCTAGCCCTGTCCTCGCCGCAACCCTGGTTCGTTGTTCGTTTCGTTTTCCCTGTGTTCGAACGAGCCTCAGACGGGATCTCCCTCGCCCTAGCCCTGACTCTGTGGTCCTCGCCGCAATATTGGTTCGTTTTTTTGTCTCGTGTTTCGGCTGTTTTCGCACGAGCCTCAAACGGGACCTCGTCCCTCGCCCTGGCCCTGGCCATGCAGCCCTCGCCGCAACCCTGGTTCGTTTTCGGTTCGTTGTTCGTTTGTTTTCGCACGAGCCTCAAGCGATACCTCGCCCCTCGCCTTGGCCCGGGCCCTGTAGCCCTCGCCGCAGCCCTGATTATTTGTTCGGCTTGTTGTTTCGGTTGTTTCGCGCACGAGCCTCCAACGGGACCTCGTCCCTCGCCCTGGCCCTGGCCATGCAGCCCTCGCCGCAACCCTGGTTCGTTTTTCGGTTCGTTGTTCGTTTGTTTTCGCACGAGCCTCACACGATACCTCGCCCCTCGCCTTGGCCCTTGCCCTGTAGCCTTCGCCGCAGCCCTGGTTAGATGTTTGTTTCGTTTTTGTTGTTGTTCCGTTTGTTTTCGCACGAACCTCAATCGGAACCCCGCCCCTCGCCCTAGCCCTGGCTTTGTGGCCTTCGCCGCAGCCCTGATTCGTTTTTCCGTACCGTTGTTGGTTTGTTTAAGTTTGTCGTTTTGTTTGTTTTGGGCTTCAGTCAGAACCTCGCCTTTCGCGCTCGCCTTGACAACAACCCCCATTCAATGCTGCCCCGTCCTTAGTCATCTTTCGATGCCATCGTTTCGTTTTCCGATGTGTTTCCAACGAGGTCTGCAGAGTTTGGTTAGTTTTTCATGTTGTTGCCTCCTTGAATGGCGGCATCGTCTCGCTCTCGTTTTCGTCTGCACCCGTATCGTTTTAAATGGTTCGTTGTAAACGTTCGGGTTCGTTTTCGTTTTCGTTCTAAACGCCAACGCGTTTTAAACATTGTTGTGGTTGGTCCTTGGGTGATGATGATGATGACGATGATTGTGACGGTGGGAACGGTGAGGGGAAGGAGGAACGGAGGAGGACTGTTATGGCGGACGAGGCTGATTTGTAATACGATGATCATGGTGGTGGTGATTGTATGATGACGATGCTGATGTCGCTGCCGCCGATGATGATGGTGATGATGACGACGTCGACGGTGATCCTGCTGCTGATGATGATGATGATGCTGCTGCTGATGATGATGATGTTGATGATGTTGTTGCTGCTGATGATGATGACGACGAGGAGGGCGATAACGACAGTGGTAATGGTGATGATGGTTATGATGATGTTGTTGATGAGGAGGATGAGGCAGAGGAGAGCCTTACTAGTTGAAGAGATCGCATGGAACTCGTTTGGACGGCCTTTGGGCTGTCTCGGTCTCCTCTGGGGCAGTCTCGTGGGTTCCTTGGGGTTCTCTTGGGCCGTCTTGGGACCCTCATACGCCGTATTGGGTCTCTCTTGGGCCGTCTTGGGACCCTCTTGGCCGTATGGTGGGTGCCTTGGGGCCCATTGGGGCCGTCGCGGGGCCGTCTTGGTGCCGTCTTTGGCCATCGAAGGGCCTTTGAGGCCGTCTTCGGTCCCACGGGCCCCCCTGAGCCGTCTTGGATGCCTCTTGGGCCATCGTGGGATCCTCTTGGGCCATCTTGCTATGGAGCCCTCTTGGGGGCCTCCTGGGCCGTCTTGGGGCCATCGTGGAGGCTTCTTTGGCCGTCTCGAGGTGATGAAATCCCGAAAAGGCGAGAATGCGAAAGTCATTCAAAAATCTAAGGGGATCAATGATTCGGGCTTCTTCGGACCCTGTTTGAGGTCCTCCTGTGGCCGTTCTGGGCCTTCTTGGGTCGTCCTCGAGGCACCTGGAGCCATCTTGGTGTCCTTGGTTCCCCCTGCCCCTTCATCAGGGACTTGTTGAATTGAACTAATGATTCGCCATTTTGGCCTCCCAGACCTCCGACGTCCTCCCTCTCAGACAACCCTCGGGTCGGCGCAGACTCCGACGTCCTCCGTCTCACACACCTCTCGGGTCGGCGGATATACACGGCCGGTCAGGCCTTAGAGGATCTCCGCACAATGCCCTTGCCCCCCTCGCCCTCTGGGTTTTCTTCTTTTCCCCACTCTCCCCTCCTTACCTGGGCTTTTCGTTTGTGATGATATTGCTTGTGACGTTTCTGGTTTGCCCGTCAGAAGTCACGGTGGCAATCGCGCAGTGCTGGTTCATGTTGATCTGGCAATGGAAATATGATTTCCCTCTTCCTCCTCATTTTCCTGCTCCTGCGGGAGGGGTGCCACGCTGCGGCCGGCTTGGCACTCCTCCTGGTCTCTTCCCTCTGATACCCATGGCCGTTGCGGCAAAGACGGACGGGGTCCTTCGCTCTGTGCTGCTATTGTTGCTGGACGCTGGCCCCCCCTCGCCAATCCCAGTGCCATTCCTGCTGCTCCCCACCTTCGAGCAAAGATGCCGCCAGGAAGACCTGGTGCAGCTCCGCCTCCAGTACGCCGCCCTGCTGCATTTGCTCAGGGACCACTTCCGGCCCGACACCATGGGGGCCAAAGCCCCGAGCGGGGATCCCCAGCATAATTTGAAGCAGTGTCCCAGACTTGCAACTTCCTCCAGAGGTCAGACGAATGCCCCCCAGGTGCAGTAGACGTATCAAACAAGCCAGCCGGCGCCCTGCGGAATCATATCACACCTTATTGCCCTGGGCACCCAGCCCCGGAATGCTTGAAGAGGTTCAAAGACCGACGTCAGGTATGCCTGTAGATTTTTCATCGCAATATGTCTCGAGCCGTTCAAAAATTACGACGGACAATTTCTCACTTTTTGATGCTTCTGGGGGCCCTCTCTGGGCCCTGGCGCCGTTTGAAAACGCTTCAGGAAATCAGTCCTGGGGAATTGGTTGAGACATTTTTCGGGGGAGCGTAAGACCCGGGTTTGCCAGGACTCGGGTTCGCCATCGTTTTTTGACGACCGCGCCTCGGATTTTGACGAGGAGGAGTTTCGTGGGATGTCTGCAGCGGGAGGCCTCGTCAAAATGCAGGCTCGGCCTCGTCATTTTTTTGACGACCTCGTCGGGCCAACCCGAGTCCCCCGTACCCGGGTCTTACGTCTCCTCGAATTTTGGGTCAACGTCATTGGAAAACCATAACGTCATGGGTCTGGGGCAGGTGTCTCTGGTTTTGCTGTCAGTGCTTCCGCGGAGCAGCGCCGGCGCCCGCGTTGAGCACAGGCGCCTTCGTGAGGTGCTTCGCGGCCAGCCCCCCGCCGCCATCGACAACGATGCCAAACGCGGGGCATCGGAGTGGAATCTATCATGGCGACAGAATCAAAATGAGCATCTCTTGAAATACAGGCGTCGCTTCGCCCACTCAGGCAACGGCGACGCGGGAGCCTTCCGGCGCTACGGCGCTCCCGCCCGGCTCTCATGGGGCCGCCCCCCATGACGGTCTCCAGCGTTTTCGCTGTCGCTTCCGCTCTGTGTCATGGCAAGAGATCGAGCGACGAAATCTGTACATGTCCACTGCTCCCTGGCCCGGCCCTTCCTGGTAGGGGGAGGGGGGAAGGCTTCTCAAAAACACCTCTGCTCCTCCTTCAGAAAAAGCCTCCCCCCCTTCCCCTACCCCCTTGTGCGCGCCGCCAACGTTCCCTTCTCCCTCCTTGTCTCGGAGGAGCGAGCGGTCTTGATGTCCAGGACTCCCAGGGGACCCGGGATGTCCAGATGTCCCACGCGGGCTGCAGAAGGGAGGGCCTTTGGGCACCCTGGAAGTCCTGAAACGTACCCTGGGCCAGTCCTACCGTGATATCATTATCGTCCTCTTGACCTCCCGCGCCCCCCTTCTTTCTGGAGGAAAAGAAACACACAGACACAATTCATCTTCGATTCCCCAGAAAGTATGGGAACATATGGGAAGTGGGGGGGAAGTCAGAAACCCAGAACATATGGGGAAATATGGGGAATCTTTTTATTTGTGTGTCTTTATTTGTGTGTCCCTGGGCCCCTTCATTATCGTCCTCTTGACCTCCCGCGCCCCCCTTCTTGCTCCCGTCCTCCCGCTCCTCGCCGTCCTCGTCGGCCTCCCACTCGTCGCCCTCCTCGCCCCCGCCCTCGCCGTGCTCCCCGCCCTTCCTCTGCCTCCTCCCCTGCCCCCCCCCTCTGCTCTCGCCCCTCCCCTGGCCCTGCGGCCCTGCTTCGGGAAGGTCTTCCTCCCGTGCGCGCGCCTCCTGCTCCTCGTCCCTGGCATCGCTCGGACGTGTGCATTTTTGCTCGGCGAGGACCATGGAGGAGCATCCTTGACCATTTGGCGAAAAAACCACGCACGAAACCGAAAAAAACACAGGGAATGAACGTCCGAGCGATGGCCAGTGTCGCCCTGTGCGTTTTCAGGGTCAGGGGGGGCATGCTTTTTCGATCATCCCGTCATCGTTCCTACCCTGTCCTATCCTCCTCCCCCTCCCCCTCCCCCTGGGCGGGGTCTTCCGCCGGCCCTCTGGCCCCCACCCGTCGCCACGAAGTCGGACGGGGCACCGCCGCCGCTGACGCAGCACCGGGTGCGGCGGTGCACGTGCCAGCAGATGCAGCGGCTCCTGCAGGCCGAGGGCGGCTGGCGAGGACTGCGGGAGCCCGTCGTCTTCGATGCCCCGGCGCTCCACGGGCAGCCGTTCGCCTCCCGCGAGGAGTTTCGGCGGTCCTTGCCGGCGCCGCCGTTGCCGCCGCCGCTGCCGCCGCCGCCGCCGTCGTCGTCGTCGTCGTCTTCGTCGTCGTCATGCTTTTGAGCAGTTATGCCCTCTGAGTCTTCTTTGGGGAGCCTTGACGCCATCTTGGAGGGCATCGGTGAGAATGGAGGGTCATCAATGAGCCTGGCTCTTCTGGAGCCCGAGAAGTCGCTTGGGACCCTCTGGGGCGCTCTTTGGCGCTCTTGGGGCCGTCGTCTTGGAGCATTCTTGGGTCCCTCCTGGGCCCCACAGGCCGTCTGGGAGCCGTCTTGAGGCCTCAGAAGCCCAGCGAAAAGGCGTCAAGGCAGATACCAACACTTTTTATCAACAGGTTTTGGATTGATTGTTGACCTCCTAGGGGCATCCTGGGGAGGCTCCGTGGCCACTCGGAGCCGTCTTGGAGTGGTCTCAGATGCTCCCTGCTCCCTCCTCTCCTTTTTTGCTATCATTCCTTATCTCACTTCGTCGGAGTTTACCCAGAAGCTGGTATTAGGGGAAAGCCTCTCAGGGTAATTAGGGCGGGTACATAAAGTGAAAGGGATGCACAAAACGAGTTGACACACGAGCAAGTAAGAGGGACTGGCCTTCAAATGCCTTTTGTCTTATCGACGCGGTCGGCGTACCGTATCAGTCGTCGTGGTGGTTGTCGCCGCCTCCGCCCGGCCCAGGAAATTTTGAGCCCAGGCTTCCGCAAGGACTTCCCCACGGTCACCGTGCTGAGCGACGCGCTCGCCGCACAGTTCGGGCCAGACTGGCTCGTCGAGGGGCAGACCTTTCAGCGGGCGGTCTGCGAGCACTGCTTCACGCAGGTGGACGGGGCCAGCGCGGAGGCGGGGCCGCTGCGCGAGCTATACGATGCCCTGCCCGAGTGGATGAGGTGCTGGGCAGCTCCAAGGCTGCACCGACACCGATCCCGGGCCCATTGGCCCATTAGCAGGGCCAAGATCTGTGAGGTCGTGAGAGAGCAGCGGCGTCGTAAAAATCTCAGCGGTGGAGCTCCCGACCTCTTTCTCTGCCCCGTTCTGGAGCTGGGTCGAGCCGTGAGGTGTCCCAGGCCCCGAAGCGGGTCATAAACGCCCGTCGGAGCCCGACACTGGGGCGAGGCCTTCAGCCTATGCCCTGGCACCAGGGCGAGGGCGGCAGCCTGCGCCCTGACACCTCGGCGAGCCGCCGAGGTGTCCGATGGTCGTCGTGTCCACCGGCCCCGGCGGCTCCGGCGTGGCCTTCCACAAGCACTCCTCGGCGTGGCTCGCCCTGGTCGAGGGCAGGAAGCACTGGTGGCTCTACCCGCCGGGAGGCCCGCCGTCCATGGAGGCGCCGCCACCGCCGCTGCCGCCGCCGTCGCCGTCGCCGCTGTCGTCGTCGTCGTCGCCGTCGCCGTCGCCGTCGCCGTCGCCGTCGTCGTCGTCGTCGTCGTCGTCGTCGTCTTGGTCGTCGTCGTCGTCGTCCTCGTCGTCTTGGTCGTCGTCGTCGCCGCCGCCGCCGCCGCCACCGCTGCTGTCCCCGCCGCGCGGAGGCGTACAGGGCCGTGGCGCTCTGCCCCGCCGCCCGCCTGGCGGAGGCCGTGGAGGGGCTGCGGCCCGCGGACCGGCCCGTGCAGATCACGCAGAGGCCTCCCGGGGGGGGGGGGGGGGAGCTCACCACTGTTGAGGTCTATCGGGGGCCCCCAAACTCGGAGGGCTCCCTCGAGGGCGCGAAGTTTTTCGCGCTTCGCGCTTCGCGGTCCTCGTTCCTTCTCCCCCTCCTCCTCGTCCTCCTATTCTCCCTTTGGGAGGGCGGCGCGAGAGCGCGAAGTTATTCGCGCTTCGCGCTTCGCGCAGCGCGAAGCGCGAAGTTGGGAGCCCTAGCAAACTCGGAGGGCACCAACTATACACCAACACCGATCCTGGCCCAGGATCGCCCTGGGCCCAGGATCGGTGTATTATGCCTTCTTGCGCAGGGCAGGAGGGCGTATACACCGATCCTGGGCCCAGGGTGATCCTGGCCAGGATCGGTGTTGGTGTATAGCTGGTGCCCTCCTACAAACGGTGTGGTGACCGCACCGTGCGGTGAGTCGGTGGGGATTCGGGGTCACCGCACGGTTTTGGGACCCGGGTCGCTCTCCGAGGACGCCTCGGGCGACGACAGAGGCCTCCGGGGTTTCCGAGGCCGTGCGGTGACGGACCGTGCGGTGAGGTCTTCGGGGATTTCGACGTCACCGCACGGTCTGCCACCGCACCGTTTCGGGACTCCAAATTTCTAACTCCTCGAGAGTTCTTTGGTTTTCTGGGGGGCCAGGATCCTTTCATTTCTAACTCTGCCGGCCTGGGGCCTCTTCCTGGCCACCGGGGGGCCAGGAGCAGTTAGAAACGAGCACACTCAGAAGTGAGCACGGTCAGAAATGAACGACGTATACTCTGGAGGGGAGGGGAGCTCAGATGATGTGAAACTCGGCTGCGAGCGAAGCGGGGGAAGTGAGGAGGAGAGGGCCTTCTCGGAAGGCGGCGGCACTTCTCAGGAGCCCTCGCGCCTTCTGAGAAGTTTTTTGTTTCTGTCCTCGGGGAAGGCTCAGAAAACATCTCACAAGGCTGGGGGACTTTCGAGCCTTCTGAGAAGGCCCGCCCCTTCTCGCTTCCCCCCTTCGCTCGCAGCCGATAAAAGCGCTGGGGGCGTTGTTGTTGCTGCTCCTGCTGATGTTGTGGTTGTTGTTGTTGTTGTTGTTGTTGTTGTTGTTGTTATTGTTGTTGTTATTGATGATGTTGTTGTTGAACATTATTTATTCTAAAGAATAATTATTGTTGGGCCCCCTGGTGCGCGCCCCCCCTGCGCCGCCTAGGCCGCAGCTACATTTTCATCATTTTCGTGAGGAAGCCTCAGAAAAGAGGGTGTGTACAGGATCCGGTTGTTTTGTTGTAATCCGCTTTCCCTTGCAAAAAACAATAGAAAATGACATTTCTTGTTCTAATATAATCAAATTTCAAGAATCCCTTGCAAAAAATAAGGTAAAGTGGACATTCGCGCGCGCAAGACGAAATCCTTCCAAAACCTTAGTGTTCGCAGCGATTTTAACATAAAAACATCAAAAAAACCAATGGTTTTTCAACAAAAAATTGTCAAAATCTCATCCCGCGCGCTCTTGCGGATTCGTAGGAAACCCAACACTTTTTAAACATTTCTGTCAAACGGGCTTTTGCGAGCAACTTTTTCGAACTTCTGCAACAACGGTTGCGCACCTGCCAGGGCCATCATCCCTGTCAAATAATACCATGCGGGACACATTCGTTTTTTCTTCGCGCGCGCACGCCGTCGTCGTCGGCCGCGGGGCCCTGAATAGTAGCCACGGTCGTCCGCATGCCACGAAGTGAAGTGTCCGAACGTCATAGGGCGGGAAGCTGGGTGTGGGTGGTGGCGAAGAGTCGTTTGGAAGTTTGGTAGAGCTTGAACCGGCCCCCCCACAAAGTGGGGGTATTGCCCGCCTCCTGTGAAAACCCTGGCACTGGTGAGAACGGAGTGTCCCCACGTGCTAGTAATTGTTGTTGCTGTTGTTGTTGTTGTTGTTGTTGTTGTTGTTCTTGGGGTTGAGTTCTTAATGCTTGAAGAATTCGCCGGCCCAACGGGCCAGAGGCGTGCTAAGATCTCCAGTAACTTGTTAACAATATTTCTAGTTCGCGCGCGCGGAGCGGCCCCTGGGGGCCCCCGGACGAAAAGTACCCCGGCAAGGTCCCGAGAGAAGCCCGGGAGAAGCCACCAGACCACTCCAGGGGAGGGTATTTTTCGACACCCCTCACGAGGATCGTGGCCTCCGAGGGGGGAGCCGCAATCGACTGCCCCCAAGAGCCCCCCAAGAGGCCCTGGGGGCCTCCAAAACGCCGCCAAGGAGCCCCAAGAGACTCCCACGAGGTCCCCTAGAGGCCCCCAAGAGGCCCTAAAGAGGGCTCCAGGGCCGGCGGCATGAGCGAAGCGAATAATAAAACTGTAGCTGATCCCCCCATAACCAGTGCACATTCTGTGTTCTTGAATTGAAGTGCCCCCGTCGGGGATCGCCCCCAGTTTTTAATCAGGGAACATGTTCTTGTTCAAACTGTGCCCTTCCCCCAGCTACAAGAACAACGGCTCCCGCCTCACACTTCATCGCAGTTGATTCCCAAATCGCGCTCACGCGCGGGACTTCTTCACAATGTATGCAGGAATCACGCTCTCGCGTGGGACTTCGTCGCAATTTATTCGCACGCCGCGCCCTCGACGCTCAGGAATCGCGCTCTCGGCCAGGCTGTTCTTGCGATTTACTTGGGGATCGAGCTATCGTTTGAGACTTTCTGGCGATTCATGCAGGACTCACGCTTCAGCAACCCGCCTGCTCGATCTGGCTGACTGGGCCCGCCTTCCCGACCCGCCCGCTGCCCGCCCGATCTGCCCGTCTGGTTCTGCCACGTGTTTTCTGCCCCTAGCCCCTCTCCTACTAATTTCTCCCGTGCTTCATCCTTCTCCCTCCCCCTTCTATCCGTCCTCTGTTCCCTTGTTCGAAGGAGCTGCGCTAAATGCACGTGGCTGGTAAGTAAGATATACCCCCAAGGGGGTACGAATGAAGACGAAACGGGCGGGCACCGAGGGTTTGGGATTTACGTGTTGAAAGGCACACGAGCAGATAGAAACGAACAGTCTTCAATCAAGTGTTGATGTTGTTGCTATTGGTGGTGGTGGTGTTGGTGTTGCTGTTGTTGCTGCTGCTGTTGTAGTTGTCGTTGCTGTTGTTGTCGTCGTCGTCGTTGCTGTTGTTGTTGTTGTTGTTGGTGGTGGTGGTGGTGGTGGTGTTGTTGTTGTTGTTGTTGTTGTTGTTGTGGTTGTTGTTGTTGTTGTTGTTGTTGTTGTTGTTGAACATTATTTATTCTAAAGAATAATTATTGTTGGGCCCCCTGGTGCGCGCCCCCCCTGCGCCGCCTAGGCCGCAGCTACATTTTCATCATTTTCGTGAGGAAGCCTCAGAAAAGAGGGTGTGTACAGGATCCGGTTGTTTTGTTGTAATCCGCTTTCCCTTGCAAAAAACAATAGAAAATGACATTTCTTGTTCTAATATAATCAAATTTCAAGAATCCCTTGCAAAAAATAAGGTAAAGTGGACATTCGCGCGCGCAAGACGAAATCCTTCCAAAACCTTAGTGTTCGCAGCGATTTTAACATAAAAACATCAAAAAACCAATGGTTTTTCAACAAAAAATTGTCAAAATCTCATCCCGCGCGCTCTTGCGGATTCGTAGGAAACCCAACACTTTTTAAACATTTCTGTCAAACGGGCTTTTGCGAGCAACTTTTTCGAACTTCTGCGACAACGGTTGCGCACCTGCCAGGGCCATCATCCCTGTCAAATAATACCATGCGGGACACATTCGTTTTTTCTTCGCGCGCGCACGCCGAAATCTCCAAAAACCATTGGGCTTCTTAAGAATTTTAGCACCGCGCATCATAAAATCACACGAATCGCACCGTAGGTCCTCGAAAAACACCTGCACGACTTTTCAAAATTTCTACCCGCGCGCGCTGTCCGAATCCTAAAAAACCAATGGTTTTCCATGTGTATCATGTGTATCATGTACCATATGCATCATATGCAACAGATGTTCTGTGGAAGGCTTAACAACTTCTGTGGGTTAACAAGGCTTAACAACTTCTGTGGGTGTACGAACGTAGGCTTAACAACTTCTGTGGGTGTGTACTCCACGCCAGTGTAGTAGCCACGGTCGTCCGCAGGCCACGAAGTGAAGTGTCCGAACGTCATAGGGCGGGAAGCTGGGTGTGGGTGGTGGCGAAGAGTCGTGTGGATATTTGGTAGAGCTTGCACTGCCCCCCCACAAAGTGGGGGTATTGGCTGGCGTCGCATGAAAACCCTGGCACTGGTGAGAACACTGAGCGTTCGGGTAAAGTGATTGTTGTTGTTGTTGTTGTTGTTGTTGTTGTTGTTGTTGTTGTTGTTGTTGTTGTTGTTATTTTTGTTGTTGTTGTCGTCGTTGTCGTTGTCGTTGTCGTTGTTGTGTTTGTTGTTTTTGCTGCTGTTGTCGTCGTCGTCGTCGTCGTCATTGAATATTCATTTTTAGAGAATAAGTATTGCTGATATCCGGACATGGTTCTGGGCGCTCTCGCCTCGACGCCGGCTACATTTTCTCTGGAAGCGAGGCTCCCACTCGAGCGTTGGTTTGAGTGTAAAATTGGGTTCTTGGAGGCCCGGCTACGACGACAACGGCTCCCGCTCGATACTTCCTCAGAATTTACCCCGAGACACCCTGGCCAGAGAGGCCCTCGAACTCAGGAGCGGCGCTCTCGCTCAAGACTTCTTCACAATTCAATCAAGTTGGCGGGGGCCCAGCCACGACGACAGGGGCTCCTGCTCGTTACTTCTTCACGATTCACTCCGAGAGCCCCTGGCCAGGAAGGCATCCGAACTCAGGAACGGCGCTGTCGCTCGAGACTTTCTCGTGGTTCAGCTACATTGGTGGAGGCCCATCTGCGACGACAAGGGCTCACGCTCGATGTTTCCTAGAGACCTAATCCCAGGGGCCCTGTCCAGAGAGGCCCCCGAACTCAGGAGTGGCGCTCTTGCTCCTGAGGCCCAGCCGCGACGACAACGGCTCCTGTTTGAT